GTGAACTGTTTATAGTTTTTTTTTCTACTTATAGTCAACACTCACTTTCGCATCTTAAAATGACTGGAAGATGCAACAAAAGTATTTGCCACCGCCCAGGATGTCGATATCCTGTTGATAGCGGCATGCAGTGCGATGAGTGCAAAGGTTGGTACCACGATGTTTGCACGAATCTAACACCTGCAGCTTTCAAGCGGTTTAGTAAAAATGGATGTGTATGGCTATGTCAACAGTGCTGTTTGGATGCAAATAGCCTGCTATTCGAGGCCATTTCAATAGTAAATGCCGCAAAAAAGTGTCTCGGCAAGCGCGGTCGGGATACATCAGTCAGAACTCAATCTGTCGACACGCAGATTGACACAAGGCAGGCCCAAGTGAGTCCAAAAACTGCCGACCCACACCCTACTAAGGAGGAAGAACATCCTCCAAAGAGGACTGTTACAACCAGCAACTCGCGCAAAAAAGTCTCTTCTGTCCGTCGTATCAAAAATGGTACCCAGAAGGGAACTTCAGGAAGCCGAAACCGCAAGGCTCGATCGGTTTCCAGCGCGAAAGATGACCCGATCTCCCAAGTCGTCCTGACTCTTCCGGAATCCACAGTACGCCTGACGCGAATGTGGTTACCACTCCAAAGAACGTTGGCGATTGGGTACGGGTCGTAAGAAAAAAACGCCAAAATGACGTAAAAGGAAGTCATACCCCCACCAAAAGGGTCGACAAGCCGAGGTCTGATCACAGCGACAGATCAGTCATTCTCCATAGAGTCAAGGAGAGTGACAACTTAGAACCGAAAGCTCGTTTTGAGCATGACATTGTGTTGATAAAACAACTACTCAACCAAGTTATGCCCAAAAACATCCCCGGAGTCACCTTGCTAAAGGTGTATAGATTAGGAAATCTAGCGCATCTAAAACCAAATCATTCTAGACTACTCAAAGTCGTTTTCAAATCCTCAAACGAACGCGACTTAATCTTAGAAAATGGACACAAATTAAAGGGTTCAGGAGTTTTTCTCCGTAAGGACTTACCGTTGGCGGACCGTGTTAAAAGACGGGAAGCCGAAAAGGAACTACAGCTCAGATTAGAGAAAAAGACCTGAAAATTGTAAATTTTCGGGTTGTGAGGCTTCGACAGAGGATGATGCCGAAGCCACTCTGGGTGAAGCACGAGGCCACCTAAATAGGCTTCGGATCTGTTATACCAACGCCCGGAGCTTACTAAATAAGCTACCGGAACTAGGTGTACAGAATGACTCAACTAGGCCAGACATAATCGCAGTCACAGAAACATGGCTGACGCCGTCTATAGATAGTAGGGAACTTGATTTCGAGGGTTTTACATTGGTAAGGGCCGATAGAATACAAACGCGTAAAGGAGGGGGAGTAGCTCTCTTCATTAAGAATGCTATTCCATTCACCATTATCGACGGTGTATCCCATGAGAGTGGGACGTATGAATTAGTTTGCTGCCGCCTGAAATGCAGGGGACAAGAGTTACTACTTAGTTTGATCTATCGCAGTCCAAGCTGTGAGGCAAACGAGGTCCTGCTAAGCAGTCTCAACACTTTATCACGAAGTGATCGATGTCTAATCTTAGGGGACTTCAATGCACCCATGGTGGACTGGGGAAATCTTCGGACTGAATCGTCAGCAAACTCCTTCGAACAGGAACTAGTTGATGCGATAATCACTTGTGCTCTAGTGCAACACGTGAAGGAAGCAACTAGGTACGACCCGGGTTCTGCATCATCCTTACTAGATCTTATATTGACTCATTATGAGGATGATGTTGCAAACCTGGATTACATGCCACCCCTAGGCAAAAGTGATCATGCAGTTTTAAACTTTGACTTCCATATAACTGTCGATCATGAGTACGCTTCAGCTCAATCCAGACCTAACGTCTGGAAAGCAAACATAGCAGACATCATGAAATCAGCATCATTAGTAGATTGGAAATTAGATCCAGAGTCATCAATCGAAACGGCTTGGGACGTATTCCGGAATTTATACTTAAAAGTTACCGCCCCCCACATCCCTTGGACTACACCTAAGAGACCGAGAAACTCCCCACCGTGGTTCAGTAGGGAGGTTCGCATCCTTCTCCGTAAAAGAAGGAAAATGTGGGACAGATTTAGGTTACTGGGGACTGACGAGGCGAAATCTCAGTATCAAAAGGCTCGAAATACCTGTGCCTCGACCCTCCGTAAGGCCAGAAAGCTGTACGAAGAGAAAATCGTAAGGGAATCCATAGAATGCCCTAAACGCTTGTATTCGTATATAAACCAAAGGACAAAAAGGAGAAGAAATGTTCCCTCATTATGGGGAGACAGTACTGCCACATCACTAGTGGAGGATGACTTTGGCAAAGCTCAAGTATTCTCTAAATACTTTAGCGATGTATACACCATAGAAACACCCTTCTCACCAGTCCATGAAAATCCACCCACACAAGCACTGGACAGCGTAACCATTGAAGAGCTCGATGTTTTTGGTCTGCTAGTTAAGCTTGACATAGGTAAATCCACTGGACCCGATGAACTGCATCCTAGGTTACTAAAGGAATTAGCTAACTTTGTTGCGAACCCTTTAAGTGTATGTTTTAATCTATCCGTAACCCAGGGTCGTCTACCAAAAGACTGGAAGAACGCCATAGTAAGTCCAGTCTTCAAAACAGGTACAAAACATAAGCCCGAGAATTACCGACCAATTAGCCTAACTAGTGTGGTTGTTAAAATCTTAGAAAAGATTATTAGGAAGGAACTGTTAAAGTATCTCGATGAAAACCGGATCCTCTCCGAAAAGCAGCATGGTTTTAGAACAGGTTACTCTTGTCTCACAAACTTATTAGTCGCTCGTGAAAGCTGGTGCGCTCTTAAGGACCAAAAATTACCTATAGACGTAGCTTACATCGATTTCAGCAAAGCCTTTGACAAAGTTCCGCATAACCGGCTGTTATATAAGCTAAGGAATGTCGGGATTGGAGGCAATCTATTGATGTGGATAAAAGACTTCCTAGTTGGGCGTCAACAAAGAGTAAGGGTGAACTCCAAGTTGTCTAGCTGGGAAACTGTGCTTAGTGGAGTCCCCCAAGGTACAGTTTTGGGGCCAGTGTTATTCCTCCTGTACGTAAATGATCTCCCTCGTCTACTATCGTCATCGGTCTTACTCTATGCTGATGATGTCAAGATATGGAGAGCGATACAAAGCAAGAGCGATAGCTTAGAACTTCAAAATGACCTGGAGAGATTATCTGAATGGTCCCAAACCTGGCAATTGCCGATAAACACTTCCAAGTGTATTGTGATGCATATTGGCCATCAGGGTACAGATACATACACGATGAATAACACTGAGTTACCTATTGTTGGGAATACAAGTTGTGCGTCCACACCCATCGTTAAATTGTACGCCTTTAGCAATCGAAAATTTTCCACGGGACATTTTTACGCAGTCCCAAAGGATTTCTGGAGCCGTTATAATCCATCTGGTTGTCTCAATTTATATGTTCATCGGTCTGGCATTACTTTGTGATGACTACTTCATTCCTTGTCTGGAGAGAATTTGTAAAGGTTTGTTTAATTTTTCACTTTACCTGTACTTTATAGTGTTGCACCTTCAGCCTGATGTCGCTGGAGCAACGTTTATGGCTGCTGGAAGTTCTGCTCCCGAGTTGACAACTACCTTGGTTGGAGTATTTAATGCAAAAGTGAGTTATAGGAGTGTATGTGTCTTTAATGGTGAAACATACCTTATGAACTTCATCTAGCTGTTTTTGAAAAGTTGTGATTTTAACAAGAATTAACAAGAAATCTTAAGAAATATATTTGATTCGGTGCATAGTTCATAGAGTCTAAACGTGTTACTTTGACTAATTGTTTAAAAAATTGTGAAAGTGCATTAAAACAAGAATTATTTTTCACTTTTCTCTGTAGCTGCTTTTTTCATGTCAATTTATACAAACTTGCATCAGGGTAACAAGTTGCGAATATGTTATTCAGAAAAAGATTCTGGTTGATTGATTACATCAGTTCAGTGCTTACGAATTTCCTGGATATTCGTTTAATTTGGTAACACCATATTTCAGAGTTTTGTGCATGTTAATTACAATTTTTATCTCACTGTGCATCAGCTACTAGACGAGTAGTTTCTTGTAAGTCAAGTGATATAATCTGTGATTTCATAGTGTATCCCTAGCATAGTTCTTGAGATTAAGGTTTTTTAGAAGTCTTGTTAATATATTAGGAACTCAGTTTGTATGACAGTTCATCTCACAATTTCAACTAGTTAGTGGTGATTGTAGGTTAGCAATTCATAACGACATAAATATTATGGTATAACTTGTGGTCAAATCATACGTGTAACTACTAATAACCTATAATCGGTAAGTGCTTATGTCCACTCTATTGTTTTGGGTTACTCTAGTCCTAATAAAGTTCGCGTTGTTTCTTTTGTCGTTTTGGGTAGATTTCCCCGTAGTTTTTGTTCCCATAACTAAGTCAACACATCATTTACTATTCATCTCAAGCATCACTTGGTCGAGGGTAAGTCCGTATCCTCACCTTGTCTAGATATATAGATTGGTTTACATAATACAGTTTATCCTTGTTTGTTTTTGAAAAATACTTTCGACAGGATGATATCGGCCTTGGAGCTGTTGTGGGTTCTGCTGACTTCAACATAATGTTGGTTGTCAGTGTTAGTGCGCTATTCGCAAAACAGGTAATATCTTTTTATATTTAACGTGTACTGATAATTACATTTTGTGCGTTTGGTTCATTTTAATTGCATTATAAATATGACATGTATGTGATTGATGATAAATGTTAGACATCAAGCTAATACTATTGAGTATTGTCCCTTTATTCGATTTATACCGGTTAGTTATCCTATCATTCAAATGAAATTGGTTAGTTGGTTGTTATCATGACTATTTCTTTTCGGCTTCCACCAAGATGCTCTTCTGTGTTACATTCGTATTATTTAATGTATTTGTTGCTCTATTCTACTGGTAACTTTGGTATTGTATTGTCTTATGCATTTACATTTACTTGAATTACTTAATGCGATATAAGCGGTATACTTGATAAAACATATATGATATCAAAAGGTAAAAAAACAGTGGATAGAATGCGATCTTTGGCATTGAAGTAGAAGTCGGTCTCCAATAAAGCTTGTCATATTGTAGCTTATATGTGACCATGTGCAGATTGAATTTCACATATTTAACACTAGACTAGCTAGTTTCAAGACCTATAGGGTTCATAATTTCTCCAATATCGAGCCAAATGTTTGATCATTGTATTGAATACGTGTTTTCAAGTTTCTTTCCATTCTGTTTTCATTCTATTCAACGATTTACTTTCAGAAAAAGCAAGCAAATACATAACACGAATAATTTCAACATTTTTGTTAAGGAAGACTTTTGTTATAATTAAATCTATCCGAGTTATTGGACTATTCGTTTTTGATTGACTTACTTCAATCATAATATTCTCGTTTTCATTTATATTTCATAACTGAGTTCTTTCTTATCATTTATTTCGATATCTCTCGTTTCTTTCCGAAACCAGTTTGTATTGTTCTGTTGTCCTTGTTTACTTCATAGGTGATTTATCTTAATTGGTGATTTCGCTGTTTATCTGTTATCTATCATACTCTTGGCATTAGTTATTTATGACGAATTAGTCTATTGGTAAGTCAAAGTTCTTTTCTCTCTCCTTTTTTCTTGATAGAAAATCGAACTGATATTCTTTATTGAATTTCTACCATCCTATTTCATGAATTATGTTAAAGATTAGTGGATATTGTAGGACAAAAAATGCTATTTGGTTTTTGGAATTTCGAGTATATATGCATGTGTGTGCGTGTGTGTTTGTGTGGACTCATGCATCATTTACCATTGACTTTTGCAATAAAGCTTTCCAGTGACTTTGTCGTTGTCGTTTGGTTAGTTTTACTTTCAAAGTTTGGATATAGTAAACCTTTTCCTTTTTTATACTTTTTTCTTCATATTGCTTTCCCTATAAATAAATAAGTTAGTTGAATTTTGTTGGCTTTTATTTCTATGAATATCATCATTCAATGAAGATTATTTGATTGTCGGTGAATTTAAATTTACTTTCTTTTTATACTGCAATTTACCAATTTCACATTGTGTACAGTGTATACACTCTTTGTCTTCCCTTAAACTATGAGATTGAGATTAAAATTGCTGTATATCATTCTTTCTTCCTGTACTATATCCTTATATACAATTTTTCCTTTATATATTACCAACATTGAAGTGACTAGAGTCGGGAGAGTCCGCTTTTTCTCTCCGAATGCTTTCACATGACCACGCGTATATTGCCTCTGCCACGAAAGTCCTACTCACTGCCTTCTCGTGGTATTACTGTTGCTTACAAAATTGAGGGTACGAAACGTGAATGTCCGGCGCTTTAACCAGGAAAGTTCACCTATGGGAGTTGGAAAACCCTCATTCCAAATCAATGGTGCACATGGACTCTAGGATCCTGAGGGAACAAATGGCGTATGAACTTATTGTTGGTCACCGACTACCAAGGGACTGCATCTCCTTACGATGCTCCACTGCCTTTCTGATTAGACGTTAAGGTCAAAGGCTCCGGGTGTGGCCTCCCTAAAAAACCACCTGTTTCAGTTTGAGCATGTGGGCATTATCACAGCCCTCACACAAATCGAATGGGTTTTGTGTGGCGCATATATATCTGGTACCCATTTGTACCAATATTTATGTGTTTAAATAAAATAAAATAAAATCTGTCAGCTGTCCTCCATGCATGACTTTCCGGAGCCTTTGTCCCAAAGTTCTAATCCACAAGGCAGTGGAGGATCGTAAGGAGATGCAGTCTCATGGTAGCCGGTAACCAGCAATAGGTTCATACACCATTAGTTCTTCCAGGATACTGTAGCCTATGTGCACCATCGGTTTGAAATCAGGGTTTTCCAACTCCTCCAGGTGGACTTTCCGTGTCCACCAACCCGGTTAAAGCGCCAGGCATTCGCTTTTCGTCCTCTCAATTTCGTAAACAACAGTGATGCCACGAGAAGCCAGTGAGTAGGACTTCGCTGGAAGAGGCTTTATACGCGTGGCCATGTGAGAGCATTTTGAGAGGGAGAGCGGACCCTCTCAACTCTCGGCCGTACCAGGGCATTTAGAGGCAATAATGACTTTATATATTATTAGGAACTCCTAACATATTCTTTGAATTATTTTCTTTAAAGCTTCATATCCACGATCTCTTAGTTTGTCTTCATTATTCCCATTCTGTATTATTATTATTATTATCTTGAAACAGTTATGAATCAAGAATACTTATTATTGTCTATGGATTATATGTATTACTAATGCACTATAATCCACGTATTGATGCATTTTGGCGTGTTTGGTGTCGTGAACATCCAACATTTTGTCCACCTGCAATCCATGCAGATTAAGGAATCCCTGATCAAATTCAACAACACAGTGGTGCATTTGGACATTTTGATATTGACAATGAATCATTGTTACCTAATCCAATCTGTCATGAACCATCAAATATTAAAACAAGCTTTAAACGTTTTTGAAGGGGATGGAGATTTTTCTTCAGAAAAACCAGGTTACTATTTAAATTCACTTAGTATTATTTGTTTGAATCCTCCCATCGATGTTTCAGGACTGCAACTGGTCAGTCTCTAGTTGGCATATGTGCATGCTGTACATTTCACCTCGATACAGCCTAAATTCACAAGCATGGCAAGCAAAGATGGATACTAGCTAGCAGTGAAATCTAGTTTGACGCGCGTTTCATCCTATTCGGGACTCGTTAGTTGGATGTACTGCATCTCAGAGTCAGAGTTGATGTTCACTCTGAGACTCGAGTTGAGGACCATTCGTTTCATACGTCACCTGCTTGTGCAATGGGGTGAAGTTTGAACCTCCCAGTCACTACCCAGGTATAAATCTGATAGTCTACACTTTTCAAATTCATCTATCCTTCACTAAAAGATTATTTAAATTTCTGAATTTATCAATCTAATCGGAAGGTACTGGGTTCAAGTCCCAGAGTGAACATCAACAAGTCTGAGATGCAAGTGCATCCAGCTGACGAGTCTCAAATAGGAGAAAACGCGCGTCCTGGATTCCACTGCTATCCACTATCCATCTTTGCCTACCAGGTTACTATTTGTTTACTTTTTTTCTTCCCAAAGATAAATCAAAGGTTTTTTCTCTTCAAAAAATATCTTTATTAGTTTAGAAACTTAGACAATTCACAACTCTGAACAATAAAGGATTTGAGTACAAACCAAGACCCCACCCTTACTGTTGAGAAGACAAAATGAACTTAAAATGTTGATTCCACACTCTAGCCGACCATTGATACAGTGGAAAAAGTACAGTAATGTATTGACTTTTTTAAAATCACATCCTTAAAAATCATCCATTCAGGATGAAAGATTCATGGGACCTAATTCAACAGTATGAAAGCTGTTTTAAAATTAAAATAGCGATTAATCAACAAAATCCAGTTATTGGGCTAATTCCGGTTGGATTTTTGAGAAATAAAGATTTTCTCTGAACATTATTATCGTTGGCCCTCAAATGGCATGGTATGGTCGGGGTTAAGGAAAGTTAGCTCTTCCTCTCGAAATGCTCTCACATGGCCATGTGCATACAACCACTGCCAGGGAAGTCCTACTCACTGCCTTTTCGTGGTATTACTATTGTTTATGAAATTGAGAGGATGAAAAGTGAATGTTCGTCGCTTTAACCAGGTTGGTGGACTCGGAAAGTCCACCTACGACTATTCTAAAACCCTCATTCCTTACCAGTAGTGCACAATATTTATATTATTATTATTTAAGCACATATATATTGGTACAAAAGGGCACCAGGTACATATGCACCACACAAAATAATGAAAGTAGGAAGAGAAGGGGTGAAAAGATAAGTCGGACTGAAATGTACAACCAGAAGACTCTTTCAGTTAGGAAAGTTAGAACCACTCTTTATGTAGAAAGTAAAAGAAGGTTACAGCAGGTTCGCCACTGGCTTCTATTCTGATCCATTTCTGATAACGCCTCTAGCCACTGTGTTACACCATCTCTCGGACCCCAGCCAGGGAGTCATGAAGGACCAACAGAAGCTAGCCCTTTGCAGCTATCTTTCATACCACGACACCATGTCATACACTGACCACCTGTCCGCTTTTTCCAACCAGTCCCAGGGTCGGCAAATAATGCACGACGTAGAAGTCTCTGGGACGACATTCGTAGAACATGTCCAAGCCACCGAAGTCGATGTTTCAAGATGGTGACACCAAGTGAATTATTGTCTCTGCGTCCGAACACACGATGCCGAACCTCTGCATTACTAACATGGTGCTGCCACTGGGTGTCAGCAATCCTTCGGAGACAATGATGATCGAACACAGAGAGACGTCTAATATCCTCAACTCAGAGAGGCCAGGTTTCACAAGCATAGAGCAAAACTGCTCTCAACTACGCGTTGTAGATCCGACCTTTTACAGCCAGACTAACATCACGAAGGCGCCAAAGATGGCCCAGATTGGCATAAGCCGCTCTGGCTTTCATTATACGTGCATTAATCTCATCACTCACGCCACCACCAGCACTTATGTAGCTACCTAGATACACGAACTTCTTAACTACTTCGATCTCCTCACCATCCAGGGTGAGTACAGGATGAGAATCCTGCCAGTCTTGTAGGAGTACTTTGCACTTGGAGGGTGCAAAGCACATGCCGTACCTGCGGACACTGATTGCCAACTGATTAAGTGCGGATTGCATGCCTTGGGCATTATCGCAAAGCAAAACAATATCATCCGCATACTCGAGGTCGAGAAGTCCTTCTCCAGGCAACATATCCACACCGCCATTACTTACATCCATCAAAGTTGTTTCCATAATGTCATTAATGGCAAAGTTGAAGAGGAATGGTGAGATTGGGCAACTCTGCTTAACCCCACTGCTCGAATAGAACAACACCGTCAGTTCCTTAGCCAGAAAGTCACCACCATCTTTAAAGAGAGCCGGAGGTAAGTCATCTGGGCCAGGTGATTTGTAACGCTTCAAGAGTTGGAGTTCCTTGCGGACTTCCGCCTCTTTTGGTGGATCAGTCGTCACCGGCCATGGGGGGCAGGACAAACTGTTTGATGTTGCTGGAGCAGCAGGCCAGTTGAACTGCCCTTTGAAAAATTCCGCCCATCGTCCAAGACGTCGACAGATGTTAGTGATTGACATCCCGTCATCCTCGTAGATTGTTTCACTCACACCAGACTTCTTGCTGCCATTGGCTTGATTTCACTACGTAACAGCCTTCGTTTGTGGTCGAAATCACGGTCACCCGGAGTAGACCGACGGGCTTCCATCAGCTGTAAGGAGCCAAAAGAAACCCAGTGCTTATAAGCGATACGTTTGCGAAGCTGCAAGCGGCCTTACTCGCCATCTTCATGGCGTCGTGAAGATGCAACCAATGCTCATCTATACTTTTCGGTGGGGTGGTAGCTAGCCTAGAGGCTAGCTCTGCTCGATACTTACTTGCAACAGAAGTTGCAGTCAATTTACTAACATCGATCCGTTGGTGGTGGTCAATCCTTCGGCCTTTGAAAAGTAAGGTGAGATTGGCGCAGACCAGGGCATGATCAAACTTCAGATAGGTACTCCAAAAGGAGCGGCAGTCTTGTACACAACCACGCCAGCGGTAGCTGATCGAGATGTGATCAATCTGAGTTCAGGCTTGTGATGCAGAGGGAAGACGCCAGGTGGCACACTGGCGATGACTGTGCCGGAAGTTAGTGCTGGCCAGAAACAGGTTGTGGTCTGTGCACAGTTGCATCAAACGGTTCCCGTTATCTGTCCTGCGACCAACAAGTCCCCATCGGCCACCTAAACGACTCTTTTCTGTGCCTGGACGCCCGACCTGAGCATTCAAGTCTCCGGCTAATACTACAATATCTGTCGAACGCGCTTTCTGGAGAAGAACTGTTAACTGATGGCAAAACTCATCCTTGATTGCATCCGGGCTGCAATCCGTCGGGGCATAGGCGGAGATGACGAAAAGACACCGTTTCTCACGCCGGTTTCTTCTCACTTTGATGGAACTTTCTAATCTAACAGCACATAACAGACTGTTAATGGGGATCCAATCGATTAGTGCTGCCTCAGCTCTAGCGCTTAGTGCGACACCAACGCCAGCAAGAACGGACGAAGATGCGGCAGAGTCCCCGGTTGAGCGCACGTGAAACAAGCTTTTCGAGGCGACAGATGGAGAGCGGATTTGTAGTACTTCACTAGAGTCTTGAATATGGGTCTCGCATAGACAACAAACATCAAGGACAAAGCCGGCCCCATCTGCTGTCTGATCTGAATTCGTGTGCGAACGTTGAAGGAAGCCAGCTTGAACGGCGTACGTGGTTTCAGAAAGACTGTTTCAGTATTCGTAATCGGTGGAAGCAATCACTTTCAACTAGACAGTGACTGGAGATCGTTTAGATAGGACAGAGTTTCCACCATGGGCGAGCTACTGCAGAAGTTGAAAAGGAAGGATACACAATTTGGGAATAAAGGGAGTGAAAAAGCGACGTAGTAAATAGTAGTAATAATAATAATAACAATAATAATGGTAATCATAATAATAATAATAATAATGTAAGTTGCTTTCTTCTATTAGGAACGAGAGCAGTGTAGTTAGTGTAGTGCATCATTTCATGTCATTTGTGTGTGGGCTGTGATACTGCCCGGGTGCCCAAACCGAAGCACGTGGTTTTCTTAGGGAGCCACACCCCGAGCTTTTGACCTAAAGGTCTGATCCACAAGGCAGTGGAGCATCGTGAGGAGATGCAGTCCCATCGTAGCCGGTGACCAACAACAGGTTCATTCGCCATTCGTTCCCTCAGGATACTGGAGCTCATGTACACCATTGGTTTGGAATCAGGGTTTGCCAACTCCCCTAGGTGGACTCGCCTTGCCCACCAACCCAGTTAAGACGACGGACATTCGCTTTTCGTCCTCTCACTTTTGTGAACAACACTCCCGCCACGAGAAGGTAGTGAGTAGGACTTTCCTGGTAGAGGCTATATATTCGCGAGGCCGTATGAGGGCATTTGGGGGCAGTAGTGAACATGGGCTGTAATATCCTGAGGGAACAAATGGCGTATGAACTTATTGTTGGTCACCGACTTCCATGAGACTGCATCTCCTCACGATCCTCCACTGCCTTGTGGATCAGGTTTTTAGGTCAAAGGTTCCGGGTGTGGAGCCTAAAAAAACCAAATGCTTCAGTTTAGGCACATAGGCAGTATCCTAGCCCTCAAACAAATCAAATGAGATTTGTGTGGCACATATGTATCTGATGCTTCTTTGTATCAATAATAATATGTTTAAATAAATAAATTGATATGTCATGTAGGTTGAACGCTTTATTCAGATCCTAAGCT